TTGCACAACTTGCTCAGACTCACACTGGTCGCAAGATCAAAGTGCTTCGCACCGATCGAGGTGGTGAGTATCTGTCCACGGAGTTTAAGTCTTTTCTGATTGCAAATGGTACTCAGCATCAAATGACGACCGCGTACACACCGGAGCAAAATGGCGTCGCCGAACGACTGAACAGAACTTTGGTAAACTTGGTGCGCTCTATGCTAGCGCACAAGAAAGTTACAAAGGGGTTCTGGGCAGAAGCACTTGCCAATGCAGTGTACGTTCGAAATCGAGTCACGTCAGGTGCCATTCCCCCCAAGATGACCCCCTACCACTTATGGATGAAATCTGTGCCAAATGTTGGTCATTTGCGTGTTTTCGGTTCAAAGTGTTGGTATACATTACCAAAACACAACATCCAGAAACTTGACGCCCGTGCAAAGGAGGCAATGTTTCTGGGGCATGCTGAAAATACGAAAGCTTACAAGTTGTGGGATGGTGATTTGCACAAAGTGATCGTATCCAGAGATGTTACTTTTGACGAGTCCACGGGAGGCAAATCTGGTGAACCGATGGATACAAACGAGGAGGCTACAACTGATGATGACACAATCAACTTGAACATCGATGAGGAAGTTGCAGAAAATGATGCAGTGGCATCAGAAGCATCATCGCCGGATGAACAACAAGACTCTGATGAATCCTCCAACTCCTCCCCAACTGCAGGGGAGGACGAAACTACCGAAACAGTTGAGCAACACGTAGTTGAGGAAGAAACGATTGATCCGCCAACTAATCTCCGTCGGTCCACTCGCATTCGCAAAACCCCTGGGGCGTGGTGGGCAGCAGCTTTGGTGACTGCTGGACTCCTTAGCCACGCCCATGTGATAACGGAAATCCCAAACTCGTACAAGCAAGCTATGGGTTCTCCAAAAGCTCGCTTCTGGCAGAAGGGCATCGACAAAGAACTTGCTTCACAACACAAAAACAAAACATGGACACTTGTTCCAAGATCTCAAGCATCAAACGTCCTGACGTCCAGGTGGGTTTTCGGAGTGAAGCAACTTCCTGACGAGTCCGGAAAATTGGTCGAAACTGCAAAGGGACGTCTTGTGGCACGAGGCTTTCAACAAGTAGAAGGCATCGATTACACTGAAACTTTCGCCCCTGTCATCAAGTTCACAACTATCCGTCTGCTGCTGGCACTGGTTGCGCACTTTGACCTTGAGCTGCATCAGATGGACGTGGTGACTGCCTTCCTCAACGGTGACCTTCACGAAGAAATCTACATGGAGCAACCTGAAGGATGCATCGACAAAGTCAAACCTGATTCGGTGTGTAAACTTTTGAAAGCAATCTATGGTCTTAAGCAAGCCCATCGCCAATGGCATAGTAAGATCGATGAGTTTCTGATCACTGAACTTGGTTTCAACACTACACGCAGCGACCCATGTCTTTACATTCGACGTCAAGGCAATGTCATCATGATTATCGCGTTGTACGTGGACGATCTGCTGCTAGCTGGAAGTGACTTGGAGGCCATATTATGGATGAAAAATGAACTCAACAAACGATTCGATATGAAAGACCTTGGCGAGGCAAAGACTTGTATTGGTCTAGAGATCGACCGTATACGTTCTAAACACGTCCTGACCGTCACACAGTCGAAGTATGCCCAAGCAGTACTGAAACGGTTCAAAATGTCGGCATGCAATCCTTGCGTTACTCCGATGGAACAGTCTCGACATGTCACAATGCAAGTTGCGGAAACTGGCACTGATGACAACCCATGCTTTGAACCATATCGTCAGGCCATTGGATGTCTAATGTTCCTAATGGTTGGGACCCGCCCCGATATTGCGTTTGCCATTGGAAAGTTATCTCAACACTGTGCCGACCCTCACGAGTCGCACTGGTCAGGTGTGAAACGTGTTTTGAGATACTTGCGTGGGTCCCAGCATCTTGGAATAGTGTTTGGTAAAGATGATCTTGGTACGGAACTTCATGGGTATAGCGACGCAGATTGGGGTGGATGCCTTGAATCACGAAAATCGACGAGTGGGTACGTGTTCAAGCTTTGTGATGGGCCTATCAGTTGGGCTTCCCGGAAACAAACAGTAGTTGCAAAGTCTACTTGTGAGGCAGAATACATCGCACTCAGTGAAGCATGCAAAGAGGCCGCGTGGCTTCGACGCTTCCATGCCGATGTACTTGGTGCGAATTCGGATCCAACAATTCGCGTTGGATGTGACAACGCTGGTACGATTGCGTTTACTCAGAACGAATCTACAAATCGTCGGAACAAGCACATTGATATTACGTATCATTTTGTCCGAGATGCGGTGCAGCGAAAACTGGTCACATTGTACCATTGTCCGACAACAGAAATGCCAGCCGATATGCTGACCAAACCACTTGGTGGCGTGCTGTTTGAAAAGTTCGTGGGCATGGTTGGGCTTTCCGAGTGCAAAGCTGCCCAAAGCATGTGATCGAGGGGAGGTATTGAAAATGTGCGACCACATGCTGTTATCTGGAAAGTGCAAAATCGAGTGACACGTGTACATGACTCGACGGTCCGGACCCTCACCCCATATCACCACATGACACGTGTAAAGTCTCAGATTTTGGGGTTCTGGGGACGAAAGTGGACTTTTGGAGGGTTATGCAAATTTGCATAAATGCCGAAATTTTGCATTTGGCCCGGACCGTTATAGGGCTACACAGGCAATACTGCAAATCTATTGCGTGTCGGTTCGAATGCTGCAATTCTATTGGTCTGTTATTGTCCACTTATATGCAGTCATGCTGGTGATATATCTTGAATGAGCGGTATACGTTTTAATTACATCATTTTGGGGGTTTCAAGTTGTTCACCATGGTTGTAATGGGTAATTACGTGTGGCCTTGGCGCTGGACACTTGTGTGCCGTGTACACATGTACACATCGCCAGGTTGCTGCGTGTACGTACACTTGTACACGTCGCCTACATACGGTCCGGCGCGTGTCCGAGCACAGTACATGTGAATTAAAAGTACAACAAGTATTTCTCGCAAGAGACATGTACTTACGTGAGTATTCAGTGTACGCGTCACGCTGTATGCGACCCTTGCATCAGCATGCGCCGGTGTACTACACTCTCGTCAGCATGCGACGTTGTACTGTGCTCTCGTTATGGTGCGCCGTTGGATGCAAGTTGATGACAGTACTCGTGTGATTCACATCGGATATCACGTGAGATGTGTAGAAAGTCTGGATGCACATTGTTGCTATCCATGATAGTTGTCTGGCAGTGTGTACCGAAATTAGTAAGGTACGAAACAAGGGCATGTATGGGGACTGAGATAAGACAGGACTTTGCGTTGTTGGAAATAGAGAGATGCCAAGTTGTTCATTGTGCAAGAATATATTCTGTCATGTCTGGATGCAGATTAGTAAGGTGTGAAACGATTGCATGCATAGGGCCATGGTTTACAGTCACTCGAAATGTGTAGAAACTGTTGTGCACTGATAGTCAATAGTCAATTCGTAAGGTGGAAATAGAACAGTGTGGACGGGCCAGAAGAGGACCGCGCTTGGTCGTGCATATGGTGAGTATTGAAAATGTGCGACCACATGCTGTTATCTGAAAAGGTCAAAATGGAGTGCCACGTGTACATGACTGCACGGTCCGGGCACTCTTACCCATATCACGACATGACACGTGTAAAATCCCAGATTTTGGGGTTCCGGGGACGAAAGTGGCTTCTCGGAGGGTCATGCAAATTTGCATAGTTTTGCCAAGTGGAACCTTGGCCCGTAGCACTATAGACTACACAGGAAATACTGCAATTCTATTGGCCCTCAGGTCTAATGCTGCAAATCTATTGGTCGAGTGTTGTCCACGTGTGCGTCATTGGCCTTGTGATGTACTTTAAATGGCCTGTATATGCCATAATTACGTTGTTTTGGGGGTTTCAAGTGGTTTGCCATGGTTGTAATGGGTAATTGCATGGGGCCCCCGGGCGGGACACATGTATGCTGTGTACACATTTACACGTCGCCAGGTGGATTCGTGTACGTACACATGTACACGCATCCAGGTGTATGCACATGAGGGTTTACAGTTTTACAGTGTCAGACTGTTTGCGATCCTGCGCGTGTCCGAGTACAGTACATGTGAATCAAAAGTACAACAAGTACTTGTGGCGAGAGGAATACAGTTGTGCGATTATTCTGTGTACGCGTCACGCTGTATGCGAGTCTTGCGTGAGCATGCGCCGTTGCACTGTGCTCTCGTCATGGTGCGCCGTTGGATGCAAGTTCATGACAGTACTCGTGTGATTTACATGTATTCTCATGTGAGTTGTGTAGAAAGTCTGGATGCACATTGTTATAACTTGCCATAATTATCTGACAGTGCTTGGCGAAATTAGTAAGGTGAGAAACAAGGATACGTATGGCGATTGTGATATGAAAGACGTTTGCGTTGTTGGAAATAGACAAGTGCCAAGTTGTTCGTTGCACAACAATGAAGTCTGGCATGACTGGATGCAGATTAGTAAGGTGTGAAACAGTTGCATGCATAGGGCCATGGTTTAAAGTCATTTGGAATGTGTAGAAATAGTTGTGAGCTAATAGTTACGAATCGATTCGTAAGGTGGAAATCGAACAGTATGGTCGGGCCACAAGAGGACCGCGCTTGGTCGCGCATAGTAGAGTATGGTTTACTGGGAGTCGGAGTAGAGCGATAGTGTAGCACTCGAAGTGTATAAGTATCGCAGGAAAACGGCTTCAAAGTAAACCTCGGCACTAACTCCTTCACTCACACACATCAACCTGCCCTCCTTTCTTTCCCTTGCCCCTCCGAACCTACCATTAGTGAGTACGGTTTACCAGGTGCCAAAGTAATGGGATAGTGTAACACTCAAAGTGTATAAGTATCGCTGAATGACGGCTCCAAGTAAACCTCGGTACCAACTCCTTCACTCACACACATCAACCTGCCCTCCTTCTTTCCCTTGCCCCTCCGAACCTACCATTAGAATTCCGTCCACAAGTACTCTCCCCCTCGATCAGTGCGAAGCACCTTTACTTTGCGACCAGTGTGGGTTTGAGCCAACTTTTCATACAACTTGTATTTTGCAAACGCCTCAGATTTATTTCTCATCGTGTACACAACTACCCAGTTCGAGTGATCATCTACAAATGTAATAAAGTATCTCGAACCACCAATGGACTGTACTTCGAGCGGACCGCAAACGTCAGAATGTACCAAGTCAAGACAGTTCTTTGCTCGAGACGATGATCGCTGTTTTGGGATTACTGATCGCGTTGCTTTCCCGAACACACACGCAGGACAAATGAGAGGGTGATTGTCAGACTTCGGATTCATTGCACTGATGACATCGCTTTGACGAACGTTGATGCCACTTACCACATTATTGTGAATCATTGATGCGATTCCTTGTACATTAACATGGGCCATGCGTTCATGTAGCGTCTGAAGGGTAACTACGTGAGCAGAAAAGGATTCATTCATGACGTCAAGTATGTACAAATCCCCAACTTGACTCGCTGTAGCAACTACAGTTGGTCCTGCAGTAACGCGGCATTTCTCATTTTCAAATGATACTTGCAAACCCTTCGAAACCATTTGGCAAACAGACAGTAGCGAGTATCCGAAATCAGGGACATGCAAAACGTTTGACAATTTGCAAGGATGGGGACTACCGTTGACGTTCAACATGAATTCTACCTCGCCGCGACCAGCGACATTAGCTCTAGCCTTCGTGCCCATCTCGACTGATCCAGATTGCATCTGTTCATACGTAACGAACAAAGAGCGATCAAACGTAATGTGAGCGCTGCAACCGGAATCGACAAGTCATTAAAGGTAGGTTCGGAGGGGCAAGGGAAAGAAGGAAGGCAGGTTGATGTGTGTGAGTGAAGGAGTTGGTACCGAGGTTTACTTTGAAGCCGTTTTCCTGCGATACTTATACACTTCGAGTGCTACACTATCGCTCTACTCCGACTCCCAGTAAACCATACTCTACTATGCGCGACCAAGCGCGGTCCTCTTGTGGCCCGACCATACTGTTCGATTTCCACCTTACGAATCGATTCGTAACTATTAGCTCACAACTATTTCTACACATTCCAAATGACTTTAAACCATGGCCCTATGCATGCAACTGTTTCACACCTTACTAATCTGCATCCAGTCATGCCAGACTTCATTGTTGTGCAACGAACAACTTGGCACTTGTCTATTTCCAACAACGCAAACGTCTTTCATATCACAATCGCCATACGTATCCTTGTTTCTCACCTTACTAATTTCGCCAAGCACTGTCAGATAATTATGGCAAGTTATAACAATGTGCATCCAGACTTTCTACACAACTCACATGAGAATACATGTAAATCACACGAGTACTGTCATGAACTTGCATCCAACGGCGCACCATGACGAGAGCACAGTGCAACGGCGCATGCTCACGCAAGACTCGCATACAGCGTGACGCGTACACAGAATAATCGCACAACTGTATTCCTCTCGCCACAAGTACTTGTTGTACTTTTGATTCACATGTACTGTACTCGGACACGCGCAGGATCGCAAACAGTCTGACACTGTAAAACTGTAAACCCTCATGTGCATACACCTGGATGCGTGTACATGTGTACGTACACGAATCCACCTGGCGACGTGTAAATGTGTACACAGCATACATGTGTCCCGCCCGGGGGCCCCATGCAATTACCCATTACAACCATGGCAAACCACTTGAAACCCCCAAAACAACGTAATTATGGCATATACAGGCCATTTAAAGTACATCACAAGGCCAATGACGCACACGTAGACAACGCTCGACCAATAGATTTGCAGCATTAGACCTGAGGGCCAATAGAATTTCAGTATTTCCTGTGTAGTCTATAGTGCTACGGGCCAAGGTTCCACTTGGCAAAACTATGCAAATTTGCATGACCCTCGGAGAGGCCACTTTCGTCCCCAGAACCCCAAAATCTGGGATTTTACACGTGTCATGTCGTGATATGGGTAAGAGCGCCCGGACTGTGCAGTCATGTACATGTGTCACTTGATTTTGACCTTTTCAGATAACAGCATGTGGTCGCACATTTTCAATAGCCATGACCTTGCGTTTGCAGCCCTCTTTCCTAGAGTGGAAGTCGAAAGCAAGCAAGTAAAGTCACTCTCCGCAAAGGCAGCAGTGGAATTGTCATCTCGAGAAAAAAATGCACTTGGCTTTAAGCCAGTGTTGCGTGACCGAAAGCCATCTGGCGGTGCAGGTCGGCGCCCATTCACGTCCTTGCCCCAGCAACGCGCTGCAGTATGCCCATGTCTATTGCAATTCGTACATTTCATATCGCGTCGAATAGGCATACGATTGACCAGTGCAGGTGCATGTGGTGATGAAGCAGAAGCGGTCTTCATGCTTTGTCGTTGTTCTTCTTGCAGCAGACGACTCTTCACAAACTCGAGTCCAAACACTTTATCTTCATTGCCAAGTGCGTCAAGAGCAACAATCAGGTTATCGAATCGTGGAGGCAAGCCATTCAACACAGCCATTGCAATTTCTTTATCGTCAATCTCAACACTCATTGACTGCAATCTGGCAGCAAGTTGCTTCACACGATTGATGAACACGAGCACTTTCTCGGATGGGACCATGGATACAGTGTAAAAGTCGCGACGGGCGGCAAGTTTGTTGAGCAAAGTATGGCGCTCAAACACTTTCAGAATTGCTTCCCATGTCTCTTTCGCACTGCTACACCCTCGCACATGTTGCAAGTAGTCATCAGAAAGCGTGAGTCCGATGACTGCCTTTGCTTTTGCGTCACCACGGATCCATTTTCTCCGGTCATCTGACGTCGCATTCTCCGAGATATCATCAAAAACGTATTGATCGACATCTCGGAGAGCAAGCAGTAGCTGGATTTTCTGCTTCCAGATGTAAGAGTTGGATGCCGTCAGCTTCTCGATTCTGACCGATCCATAGCTTTGGTCATCCATTTCGCCGAATGGATGTACCCTTCGAGTATACAAGGTCTTCTGTTCCGGGATCCCAAGCCGTTAACCGATAGTCAACACAATGGCAAGCCCACCCGTATAAGAAGTTTGTAGCGATTACTCGGAAACGTTCTTGGTGCTTGTTCCCGGCGGAGTGGAACAAGCGTATTCTTCTTAAAAATGCCTTAGGGCGCTACCCCTGTATGTCGGCCAGTGCGGGTCTTTCGACTGTGAACTAAATCAAACGTGCCACGAGTAAGCACAACACTTTGCCTGTAGACGAACCAGGACTTTTGGTCACTACTGCGAACGGTCCCTGCAACCAAAATCGGCTTGTCCAAACTTAATACGGTACTACCCCAATGAGGTTTCCCACACAAGAATGAAACTGCCTTCGTCGTACTCGTGTGATTTGTTCACAATCACGCCTAGGGTCACCCTCTTCCGTGCGAACTTAATCAAGGTACGCGACCTTATACATGTATAGTGAGAGGTTCAGTGTTTAGGCACGTATTCTCTTCACCCAGGGGACCGAAGTCGTACCTATAGGGCTAATACCGAGAGCGTTACCCACACCGCCGACGCACCTCCCGAAGGCAGAGTGCGGATCGACTAGACCAGTACACTGTGATCCTCCCCGAGGATCAGTGTTTCGTCTCTCGACGATTCTTGGTCGGACCCTCGCTCAAGTCAGATTTCCAATGGCACAAGCCTTTCACCAAGAGCGAGGGTATCGGCAGCTACGACGATCACCGGCGTGATCGAAGGGCAGTCTTCTTGGATTGATATGGTACGTTGGCGACTAGGGACTACACCCACAGCTCACACAACGATTGCCAATACCAAGCTGCAACAGACACGAAGAAGATCCACCAAGTTGAAACGACAGCAGGTAGACGGAGACGAACGACCAAGATGATAACGACAGCAAGTAGACCGCGATAGAACAAAACAAACGACGGCGGCGATGAAAACGGCGGCGGAAACGACAGCAGAAACCAAAACGAGAACGACAGCGGAGACCAAAACGAGAACGACAGCAGAAACAAACACAAAAACGGCAGCAGAAACTCAGAACCAGCACTCACACAGCGGAATAATAACGTTGAACTGGGCCCATAACCTAATGGTAGGTCAGCGGGGCGAAGGGGATTCCAAGGACGGTTGATGAGGTGAAGTGTAAGGATTGGGTACCGATTTACTTTCAGTCGCCAACTTCTGGCACTACTTATACACTTCTGCAATCTTCTAGAACTCTACTACCAAACACTACGACACACATACTACAAATGTATTGGCTCTAACACATGTGCCCGTCTTGCTACTCAGCCAAACTGGCGATGGCCCAACAAACAGAACAGAAAACCGCCTTACGAATTACCACTGTCATGACGGAGAAATTAGTAAGGCAGTACAACAAAGCACAGCAAAGCACAAATTCCCTTACTATTCCAAATCCAGCGTGGCACAAATTCGTAAGGCACGTTTACAGCTCACACGTTGCCTTACGAATTCAAATCAATTCTGCAAGGACTGTTTACAGCGCACACGTTGCCTTATGAATCTGAATCTCTCGTGAGGTCCTGTCCACTGTCAATTACAACAGTGCACATTTTGCCTTACGAATTCAAAACTCGCGCAACGGTATCTTTGTGTCCTGCTGTACCCGTGCTGCACTCCATGGACGCTGTAAACCTTTGGCACGTGCCAGGCACCCGCCACCAAGGTTCTACACTTTGTAAGACTGCAGGCGTACTGTACGCGTCCGACAGTGTAATGAGGACATGTGTCGAGGTCATACACGTGTCCGGCGGAGAAAATGAAACATGCACAGATTGTACTGTACAGTGCAACCGTGTACAGATTTCACACGTGTGCATGATGAAAACCAAACTTGCTCCTGAAGTACTGTAGAGTGCAACCGTGTACGGAAATCACACGTGTACACGTTGAAAATCAAACTTGCTCAGCTCGTCACGCGGAGTGTTTTCAATTTTACACGTGTCATACCTGTCGTTGTGTGTCATGCATAGCAGCATGTGGTCGTAGAATTACAACAGAAATTTCTGAGGCATGCAAAAACTGTCGTCGCCACCGCAGCCGACCCTACAGGTTTAGGGTGTCCCTTCCCGCCGACGACATCAAATTCAATCACGAAATAGCTGTCGATTTGACGTGGCTGAAGGGGAATCTACTACTCCATGTGGTCGACACACACACACACAACCAGAATGCCGTGATCCTGAAAGGTCAATCCGCACAAGACGTATGGGACGCTTTCGTGGAGGGCTGGGTCTCTGTCTATCTCGGCTACCCCAACCGCATGAAGGCAGACAGCGGTTCGGTATTCACATCACGTTTTTGGAAGGAAGTGACAACCCTGCACGGAATTGACGTCGAAGTATCGGGTGTGGAGAGCCACAATAGTCTGGGGGCAGGGGAAAGATATCACGAGCCGTTACGTCAAATATTTGACAAAATATTGACGGATCACCCGAGTATTGACCCAGAGGTTGCCATACGTCTGTCTGTCAAGGCACTCAATGACACAATGGGTCCAGAAGGCATAGTCCCCTCCCTACTTGTGTATGGTTCACTGCCCACATTCCCCGCCGTCCAGATGGAGGCACCTGCCCAAGAAGAGCGTATGAAAGCTCTTGCCTCTGCTCGTCGTGAAATGGCAAGCATCACTGCCAGACTACGAATTCAGCAAGCTTTGCGATCCCGCGTGCCCCCCGCTACGCACTACGCAATTTCTGCTGGCGACTCCGTGTACGTCTATC